TCCGAACGCGAGGTGTTTTTAGCATTTTGACTTCGAAATGTGCTTCGCGCCACAACGGCGTGCAAGTTTTCATCTCTCATCTGCCCAGCTGGCTCCGCACCCGCCGCTTTAGCGAGATTTAGCGAGCCTACTTTTCGACCCTCCGGAGCCACATCTGTCCATATTGTCGGAAGTTTGACTTCTAAACTTCCTTCGATTAAAACAAGATCAAACGAGCAATGAGTCAACGGATGTCAACGGACATTGAAGGTGGTTTTTCTAAATGATTGTAAAATATTGCAAACTTGAGGGAGACGACATGAGACGACAATTCCGTTCCAAGCTAAAGCCCCATAAATTTCCTCAGTACTTCCTCCGAAAGAACGGAGCCCTCGAGGATAGAGCCGTCAGGTGTCAGGTCTCCCTCCTTTTAAGAAATCAATCCAAAAACAACAGTTATTATAACAACAGATTAGCAACAGTCTTCGGTGTTGACTTGCCAATTGCCAAGGTGCAGTCCCGGCACTAGCACGAAGGTGATGAACCAGCAATAGTCGCAAGCCATCCAGGAGAGATGCACCAGCCGGGATCAAAATGTCAGAGATCTCCTCGCTGGTAGCCACATGTCAGCCATGTTGAGTAGCCATGATGTAGCCATGCAATCACTTGGAATGCCTTGCTATGCCTCGATCCTCAATCCATGCCACCTGCCTCTCCGCCTTCAAAACTTGCAGCAAGCTCACTTTTCCCTCAACTAGACAACTAGAGCGCAGCTGTCGCGTCAGCACGTAGCGCTGTCAGGGCGCCTCATCCTGTTCTTGCAATCCATGCATTTGCACTGTTTGAAAATTTTGATCAACGCCCCTGGCTATACAATTGGCTGCGGGATGCCAAAGCAGGGCCGTTTTCCCAGCAAGGCGCATGCACGAGTAGATGTATGCAACCTAATGGACGGAGAAGCCAAATGGACATACCAGTAGGTGATGTATCATTATATGATATATATTGATATATTATAAATTATAATACTAGTACGTAAATCAGCTCTGTGTCACAGAAACGAGTCTCAAATGCTCCAATCAGATCTTCCACGCAAAAAAAATGACCATATCATACGATATCCAAGCACTTGTCCACTAGGATGCAGACAAAGGTTACTAGACAATCAAACCGTGCAATCTTTGCTTTCAAAAGCTAGAATTCTTTGCTCGAGGAGGTGATTTATAAAAAAGTCACCTCAAGGTACGCACAGCGAGACCAGAAGAAAAGGGACGAAAATGCCAAGAATGTGGATTCTTTGTGTCTCCCATGTGTTGCACCTTGCAGTCCGAAAAGTCAATCTGCACACCTTCCAGCCTGCAAGGAATTGAATCAATGTAGTTAAACACAAGAAAGATCAAGAAAGACTTGCATTGTCCATGCGGCCAATCACCAAACTTCAAGGGGACACATGGCAAACCCACAATGTCGACAACGTGCTGCCGTGGTGCATGGCAGCTTTATATAGCTAAAATGCCATGCAGCACAGCCAAAAATCTGAATTAGGACATGCATGTGCAAGGTACCCTCAATTTGCAACCTCCCGCTTTTGCAGATTCATGATGGTTCTGGGATATTCTTGGCATCGGAGAGTCTGAGGAGGTTGAGATTGCGAGCTGCCAGTTCTGCTAGGCAAAGCGAAGCATCACGTCACAAGGACTGCAACCAAAATCCGCTTAATTACTGTGCATCTTGCAGCTACAGGTTCTGACATGTTCTTGCGGTCAGGACTCAAGAAAAACAAGTGCTGATCCTGGGAGAAGAGAAGTCTCACATGCAGCAGGGGATACCCCGGCAGATATATTCCAAATTAGTCCTTGAAGTTTCATCCACTTCGTCACATTTGTATTACATGTGCATTATTGTGCATTACATTTGTCATCATTTGTCATATTTGTCATGCCAATTGTTGAGCAAGAGCCTGTAGCCGAGCAGCATTGAAAAGCTGTCAATCTGTCAAGCTGAGGGCGGCCTGTCACTTGGCCTTTGCCCTCGTCATCGCAGCACAATGTCCCCTGACACAGCTCGATGATCACTGCCAGCTGCGCGTGGCCAAATCTGAGACTGGACGATCGACTGACCCACCGAAATTGGTGTCTTCTGGAAATAGACGTAGTCCTTAATCAATGCGCACTAGTACAATGCACGACAATCATGCATCTGTTTCCCATGTTCCCACTACAGCAGAATCCTTTTGGAACCCTGGATAACCCTGGTGCATACCTCGTGGTTGTAGCACAACCACGCATGGATGGACCTGTTACGACCTGTTCCCAATTCATCCCAATGCAATGCCCCAATGAGACCCTCGTCCTGTCCAGCGCTGAGACAGGACGAGCTCTATCTAGCAGACCATTTAGGTATCTGTGGGATCCTGTCAGTTGCGTGTATTTGCAGATTCCCTTCCTAAAGTAGCGCTTGATCCGGTAAAGGATATCACATAGAAAAACCAAGCATCCAATCGCACAGGATCATCATTAATTGTAGATGGATCTGGATTTCCTGGATGAAGTTCTGCCCATGCATCGGAAAAAGTCATTGGAATCTGCCAGCTCTTCCCATCTGCATCAACTTGGCCGTTGCGTAGGAGCTGTTGTGATGGCTGGAAATAGCCTGTGTTCAAGTCGCCCATGAGAACCTTGGAGGTCTCGTGAAATCAGTCAGATGTCATAATTGTCATTACATATCATTATATACATCATTCATACATCAAAGCCAGCCTCGACATTAGATGGAACATGATGGAACACGCTAAACGCTGAACCCTTACCAATACCGTCCAATACCGATAGTTGCCAATGTCTTCCAAGGTGATCAAAAATGGTCAAGAGATGTCGAGGGGCAATCGGGTATGGATGCGTCTTCTGTACTTCCTGCAATGTGCCAATCACGAACTCCACAGCCTCAATGATAACACGGTCACCTCTGCAGCACAACGGATGTGTTCCTGACAGCCGAAACGCGAAGAGCATACGGTTTCCCTTCGCCTTTTCAAGCAAAGCGTTCATGGCAGAAATTAGATAAAGAACAATGGTAAAATTTGTGAAAACAGTACAACATATGACAACATCCAGGCTTTCATCAAACCTGCGCCTGCAGCAATCAGTGTATATCCATCCGACTTGCGGCGCAACGCAGCCCAATTCACCGCTCTGCCCTCAGAGAATGGAACCAAATCACTGGCGATGTGCTCCCACTTGTCAGCACGGAAGAGGATGTCAGCATCGTTGAACTGCTCTGTGGATCCACCAGTGGCAAATGCGTAGACATTTCCGGAGACCTGGTTCAAGCGATCCAAGATGGCATCCTTCTCATGCCACATCTCCGGAATGGCTGCAATCTCCGGCTGCATTCTCATGAGCTCATCAACAACTGGATGAATCCTTCCAGCCAAGGTGAAAACGTAAAGGTTCCAAGTGACAAAGCGAGTTGGTTCTTCCGCAGGCTGCGGAACCTCCGGAGAAGGAGGAGGTGCTGGCTGAGGCTCCAGCTGATCACCCTTCAACGGCCATGCACAGGCGAGGCCACCGAGGGTGCACCAGCCGTCAGTCTGGAGGTGGCAGTCCCAAATGGGATTGCTGCCTCGTCTCCCGCGGAACAACGAAAATCAGCAAAACATGCGATTGGTCAATTGATGTCAATTGGCTATATCATGCTATATCATGCTAAGCCAATTATGGTCAACGTCAACAATCAAACATGTGTGCAAACTGTTTGCATCTCCTCCAACATACTTTGGCAAATTCGGCAATTCTCCACCTTGATTCATATCTCCATTGTAGCCTTGCTAGACAAGTTGTTTTTACATCTGTTTACCTGTTTCTCCTTCGCCAAGAAACTGTCTGTGTCCTTGAAGCATGCCACTGGCTCTTGCTGCTGGCCGCACCATGCACTTTGTGCGAGCTGAAAGTTCGGCTTCCCAGCACAGCTTGGAAGATCACTCAGGCTGCCTGTGTCCGACAACATGAACGCATCATACTTCCAAGCGGCGGTCAAAAGACATAGATTCATGATACTATATATATATATATATGATTTCACGTCCAGAAGATCCGGAATCTGCATCTTTCATACTCTTACGATACTTATGATGCAAATGGACTGCAAAGAGAGATCATTACGGGTTGTGCGCTGGCTTGAGTTTCCAACTAATCTCAAACAGGGTGAAGATGGGTTAAGTATTTGCTAAGCAAGTCACGTGTTGCAGGCGTGGACCCTCGTAGCATTGCGCTGGCCGGCGCTTCCTTTGCCAAAACCAATGGCAGCACTGTGGCAAATGCGAGCGAGCAGCGCACCATCTGCATGCCGAACTGGGAAAAGAAAAGAACCGGGGACCTTTCCGTAAGCCTAAAAGGGTCAGCTAGGAAACAGCCACGCTTGCTTTCAGCCCCTCCACATCTTTTAAACCTTCGCTAGACATGCACAAACCACGTGAACTTCTGTGCTCCGGTTCCTGTTCCTATCATGAATCAACATGAATCGTGCTGAATGACAAATTGACATCTATCCTGAAGGAGATGAACAAATACAGTATCCTGCGACTTTGATCACAAGAGTCGAATGGAATACCTGACCGCTCCCACCAAATATAAACAGGGTGCTGAAGCAGGCCCCGCAACAGGCTTGCACAGCTCCTTGTGGGGGTACGAGATGCCTTGAACCAATGAGGCAAAGTGGGATGAATGTGGCATCACAATAGCTGGCTTCTAGTGGAGCAGGACCATTCTACCTTCGCGGATTCGAAAATAGTCCTTAATTTTCAATTATACGATATATGATGCATGGATAAATGGATGGATGGGATGGGATGGGATGGGATGGGATGGGATGGGATGGGATGGGATGGAATGGAATGGAATGGAATGGATGGATGGACAGATCGATAGATACAGAGATTGATACTATATATATATAGATTAATTATACATAATATGTCGCTAATAAATGCCAATAAACTTTTATTAGCCTTTAGACAACCTCACTCAGGGTGGCCGCCTGCAGTCACATGGATGTCACATGATGGCAACCCTTCAAATTGACAGCTATCGACGTGACAGCTTCATAGACATTCAAGAGAAGTCATACGACTGGTCCAGTTGCCTCCAGTCGGCGAGGTGCCAACTCCCTGGTGGCAGCTCTGGGGGCATGGTGATGCAGTGACAAATGAGAAAAAAAGCAAGGAATTGTAAGGATTGGTAAAGAAGGCCGGAAAATCGTCCCTTTTCATATCTTTTCAGCCCTTTTCACTCTTCTCGGGTGATATCTAAGTGAAGCTAAGGTGGGAACCTCCCGGGAACATGCCAGAACACTACTTTCCCTCAATGCCTCACTGCTATTGCCATGGTCTGCCTGTATCTGTGGTTTCTATTTCTTCCAATGCTATTTGGCATCATGTGGTGTACACCATAGTAGTATACATCGAATGATATCGAAAATGAAGCATTGATCAAGGCGGTGTCATGGGACTCTGGCCTGCGCCATGAGGGCCGTTTTCTCCGCCTTGGCGATGCCAGGATTTGAGCGGCGCACCTGTCGCGGCTACGGCGCGGCGCTAGCCGCTTGTTTACGGTTTCCTCATGTGTTCCCACAGCTTCAATCCAACACATGCCTTAACAGCCTTAACATGTCTGTACCTTCAGCCTATCAAGCCCCAGGAGTTTGTATTTTTTTTGCCAGGGCGTCGCAGAGGATTTGCCCTGCATGGAGTTTGTATGAGGTTCCCGGTCCCATTTAAGGCCCATTTGATCTTGACTTGCCATCATGATTCATGACGCATCAGGAATTCCGCTCATTGGTATTAACATGTATTAACCTACCCATGTGTGTAGATTCTGACGTGTTCTCTGCGATCCGTATTTGACCGCACTGGGACCTGCCGCACTTCGTCCTCATCTTCGCTGAGCCGCCAGTTGCCGCCAGATTCCCTCAGACATGTTGTCACACCACCGTTTAAACTTTAAACAGTTGAAATATCTGTAATTATATAAGTGAGCGTCATCGTTGAACTCCTTCAACGCATGCTGATTCACTTTGATGCTGGGGTCTGGGTTCAGATTGAGCTTTCTAGCCCAATTTCGATGCATCAAGACTCTCTCTCTCTCTCTCTCCAAGCAGGAACTGTCCTACAAGGACGCCCTGCCAGCAACGGAACACGGCCAGCAGGCAGAAATCAATCACTTACAGCAAGACGACAGAAACCAGTATAGGCCTGTTTGCCTCGATGCCTATTTGCTTTACTGGTCACTTGCAATGAGATGGAGGTGGACCCAGAGGCCTTCCCAGTCTGGCGCTATGCAATTCAAACTGGGGCATGTGCGCGTATTGCGTGTGGAATTGCATAACATGTAAACATGTTACATATATATATATATGTGTGTGTACATAATTGCATATACATACCGAGAAATGGATTTGAAAAAATAGAAAGTATCTCTCCCTCTTTCGCGTCTGAGGAGAAAACAGAATTGAATAGATGAACATGTACAGTAGGAGATAAAGGCACCAATTAATCGCTGAGATAACACGACATTTTAATACATTTTAGACTTGAAGTATCTTGAAGTGAACGCTTCCGTTGCTCTTGTGCAAATCTCTGGAATTTCATCCACGTCGCTTGCGTTTAGCTCTATCAGGAGGGTCTTCTTCACCTTCCTGCACGCACTGAGCATGGGCATGAGATGCCCATATCAGTCCTATCATGTCCTATCAGTCTCTTGTCATCATTTCTCATCTGGTACCGAGGACATGCCAGGTAGGAAATATATACAAATTATACAATGACATCCACGGCTGACTGAGCTTGTGAAAGTCCAACAGCTTTGGGGCCTCCAGCCGCTCGGAACTGCTCGGCTTCGAGGTCCTTCGGAACCTGCAGAGTTGACACGCGGCTCACCAACTTCACCCCACAGCGGAATGCCCAGAAGTTTTTGGAAGTTCTATGAAGTTCTTCACCATGCTCCCAAAGCCTAAGCGGCTAAACTTAACAAAACGCATCAGGTTGACAAAGCCATCCAATGCCAATGCGTTTACAGTAATTACGACCTACGCCATTCGCACGCTAGACTGTGGCCTAAGAGGTGGCCAAAAGCGATCTGTGGAAATTCAATTGTATGGATCCGCTTGTCTGCGAAACATGCTACCTGCATCTACAACATCTACCTGCAGGTTGAAAAATGGAGGTTGACAGGGGACTCTGCATGCAAACTCTTGGAATAATTCTTGTTCCCTCTTGTTCCTGTTCAGTCCTGTTCTATATATCCTGCCCAAACCCGAGTCAGGTGGGCAAAACATGAATGGGATAGGAGTGGATAGGATAGGATGTAATGAGGTCTAGCTTGATGTGAATCCTGTCAAGAATCAATCGATTCTTGTGCATTCTTCATCATTCTTCAGACATCTTCACACATCTTCACACTAACTACATCGAATTACCATTGTCATCCAATAGCGGGCACCTACCTGTCAAGCATGGCGCCAGCGACAGTCTGGCGCAGCTGCCCTAGCCTCCTACCAGGTTCTATGCTTTAAGGACTGGTACAAGCAGGATGAATTCGGATGAATCATGGTGATACATCGAGCTGCTAGGGGAACATGTCAGCCGCACTTGAATCAATAAAGCATTAAGGCATGGTCTGTCAGAAATGTAGTGAAAGCCACAAACAAAAGCCGGTCAAATTCAAGCCCATCTCATGCGCAAGCCGGATTTATATCTTTATCCGCATTAGCCGCATTTTCTGCAAGTACCGACAAAGTGCAAGTAGTGACTAAGTAGTGACTGCCACAAGCAGGCTCATTCTGCCTCATGAACAGTCCTTGACAAGCCACATCTGCATGCATTCACAATATTTACCTCATGAGTTTAGAGTTGCAGGTGTCGCTGCTCATGTGAGCCCAAGTAAACAACCCACGCGGAATATCCTGGTTGAAGGCACCCTCGGCCCATACGGACGAATGGGTTCAAGGCCAATGCATGGGCAAACAATTTACCTAGCTGCCTATCTTGTTGGCCGTGGCAGGGCAAATGGTCGCAGAAGCCATAGATGGCATCATGATGAAGAACTGGCTCCTGACATTGACTGAATCGACTACATCTCTTGATACTTGAACTGCGCATACCTCGCTGTGACAAAGAAAAATACGACTACGGCTGCAAGTGCATGCAAATGCTGTGTCCTTTAAAATCGTTTCAATATGTTCAATCTGACGTTGATCAGTCCATCAGCATTTGGGAAAACCTTGAATCACGCTGCAAAGCTTTAGGGCAGAGGTCTGGTAGTGAGAAAGCTGCTAAGCTGCTAAGATCGATGTTGCTTCATTGTCAAGTTCATTACCCCTGCAGGTGATCCTCTCTAGGCCAAGCTTGAAAGCCCACGGTCAGATATGCGTGCGAGAGGTCAATGACATGCGGGTGAGAAATATGAATGATCCACGACATTACATTCCAGTGTTGAGGAATCCCTATAAATACTATCAGTTCCCATCAGGTTTTGAAACATAATATCATATAATCTTATATATATACACATGTTTTTCGATAACTCTCGATGTGTCAAGAGTACCGAGCCTATCCGAGCCTTATCTCCCAAGCCATTTGCACCTCACATTGACACATTACTTTGGAGCTATCAAATTGAATTACACAAGGTTGACCTCCCTCTTAGGTCCCTCTTTCTCTTTCATCAATAATTAGTCGGCTTGGGACTTTCCTAACAACGGCAGGCCTTTGGTGATTCACGATCAGACCTGAGCCCACTGAGCCGCTGCAACTGGAGTTTGTCGGAGAGTTTAACAAAGTGAGTTCTCTACAAAACGCGCCCCTGGCAAAAAGGGAAAAAAACAAGTGCCCCGCTTTCAAAGACATAGGCAGCGTCGTGTTTGTCACGTCAAAATCCCCTAGACTGAGCCTATATCTATATACGATGTTCTATAACTGTGTAGTGCGTGTGTGATTGTAATATATATATAATTATATATATGTGTGTGTGAGAGTTGTGCGCATTTATCCAGTGTGTGTATAAGTATATGACATCCAGTGAGTAGCACGTTGGAATCAGCTCATTGGGCTCCAAAGCTCAAAGTCGTAGTCATTGGTATTTCCTCCTCGGCCCTGAACCAGCACAACTGGCACTAATCAAACTGAATGGGAAGGGCGGGGGTCTTGGATCCTGTGATTGTGGGCGCCACTTTGCACCGCAATGTTCACGTTTGCAAAGATGCATGCTGCAAGAAAGGGATTGCACACTGGGAGTGTTGTGCACTTGAGACATGAACAGGATTTCGGCAGCTAGCCTGAGGATTGCTGAGCTCTTAGCAATAACGCAACACATTGGCCCCTGCATGCCCTACAAATAATTACTTGCTAGCACAGTACCATCTACAATTCCTGCCTCTGACCCTGAGCTGTTCTCAAAGTCAGCATGGCCTTGCCAGTCAAAGAAAGTAAACAAATTCAACTGCCAAAGTCAAATGAAAAAATCGGAAAATCTTGGGAAAATTGGCTCTGGAATCGCCATCTTGGGAAAAAAAAAACACCCCAAATGTTTGCAATCATTCCAGAACTTGGCCAGCACGATCTGCATTCCAATATTGAGCACCGCGAATTGGCTCAGCTCGTTGCCGTAGGAAGGCCCACTAAAAGGCGAAAAGTCCTCCTGACCGAAAGGGGAGAGGACTCTGAGCACTTTCCGGACTGGTTGGACTCTGTTAAGTTTGACCAGCTCGCAAATCATATCTTGGGGGGGCACAGAAGTCGCTCCTCTGACATCACACCGTGGCTGATGCCCGGCGTGCAAGCCCTGCAAGGCTTGAAAAATGGTTTAAAGAGAAGTTAAGTTCCTCGCTGGCCATGAGCATCAAACGGTGACGTCGGTGGGGACGCAGGCGAGTTTTGGTACAACCAAAGGCAACCAAATGTGAGTTCGCTTGAAAATACACATATAGTCCCCAAACCAAAACCAACTAGGCTATTCACGCAAAACTGAAGCTCTCACGTGCCTTGGCAGTTAGGTTTTCACCGCCATAGCGCTGTCTTTTTTGAGCCGATCTTGCCGAAACATGACATCAAGGGACAGCATCCCAAACCAAAGTGAGAAAAAAAACACCAAGTGTCCCTGAGAAAAGAATACATTGACATGATGGGATTTCATGATCAATGTCTGCTCACATGTTTCCAGGATATGATGTATTTAGAGAAAGGTGTCTTCGACTTCAGGAGGCTCGCCTCCATCTGCAATAGCAGATAACATGGAATGTACGTCCGCTCCATATGAGTAATTATTCTGAATTCTAATATTCTGCGTGTGCATGCGTAAATACATACAGGTTATACAAGTATAGTGTGCATACATAGCACCTCCCCTAGAAAACACATGACAACACACTACGTCAAGTCCTCACCGCTTATATATGCAGACTGCAGACGCACTAATATGATATATGCATAGATATGCATAGTATATGTACTGTATATTTGACTACCTGTATATATTCTTATGTAGTTATATAATTTTTGCAAAAATGGGGGAGACAATCAACTGAATCGTTGCAGCCAATCAACTGAACACTTGCAGCCTTGGCACATCTTGGCACCTTGCTTTACCGCACACTTCGGGTCTTGTCTTGTTCCAACACTTGCAGAACTTTGACCGTAAGAGGTTTGTTTGTCCAGTGATAATTTGGTTTCGATGACAGAACCCAGAATTAGGTCAGCCCTACTGCCCTGCCGTGTTTTCAACGCGGCCGACGGCTCCGGTACTTTGCCGAAGCTTCGTTCAACCTCAGGGGGAAAAAGAACAGGCCTCATGATGCCTCATGTAGCACGAAGTTTCATGAGTTTTGTGTGTGTGCAGTGCCTTTGTGCGTCTGGCATGCCGGTAGCACCCGGTCCTATGACATACAAATTCCTAGTTACATCTCTATATCTAAAAGGGTCTGGAAATGTTTGTTTTTTTTTTCCGTTTTGTTTTTTTGGTGAATTTCATGTTCTGTCCATGTTCCTTGCTGTTTGCAGCATTTTGCAGCTGGAATGAGCTGGAAGCTGCCATTTCAACGGCATTTGCAACATTGTACGAACCTCTCATTTTCTATGGTATTGCAACAGGTTGGTGCTATTTACAGCATTTTGGAGCTGGAAGCTGCCATTTATCAACGGTATTTGCAGCATTTTTGAGTTCGAACTTTTTATTTTCCATGGTATTTGCAACATGTTGGTGCTCGAACTGTTCATGTAACATGGTAGTTGCAACTAGGGTTGATTATGATGATTATTTAGAGTTGGTTTTAGTGTTAGTTTAGGGTTTTTCTTGGGTTGTTCGTACGTTTTTTATGTTTGTTGTTGTCGGTTAGGGATCTATTTAGAGTTTGTTTTAGGGTTTATTTAAGCTTGGTTTAAGATCTGTTTGGGGTTGGTTTAGGGTTCATGTGGGGTTTGTTTAGGCTTGGTTTAAGATCTTTTTAGGGTTGGTGTAAGGCTTGTTTAGGTTTGTTTGGGATCTATTTACGCTTGGTTTAAAAATCCATTTAGGGTTGGCTTATATACTATAAGATTTATTTAGGTTTGGTTTAAAAATCAATTTAGGGTTGGCTTATATAAGGTTTATTTAGGCTTGGTCTAGCATCTATTTGGGGTTGGTTTGGGATCTATTTAGGTTTGGTTTAGGCTAGGATCTATTTAGGGTTGGTTTTGGGGTTTATTCAGGCTTGGTTTACAATCTATCAAGGGTTGGTTTCAGGGTTTACTTAGGCTTGGTTTAAGATCTATCAGGGTTGGCTTAGGACCTATTTAGGGTTGCTGTAAGGTTTGTTTGGGTTTGGTTCAAAGAACATTTAGGGTTGGTTTATAAAAGGCTTATTCATTTACTTAGGCGTGGTTTAACATCTATTTGGAGTTGGTTTGGGGTGCATTCAGAGTTGGTTTAGGGTTTCTTTAAGAGTTAGTTGGTTTCGAATTTATTTAGTGTGAGTGTGTGTTGAGGGTTTCCTTAGGGTTGCGTTAGCTTTTTTCCCCACCTGCCAGGTGAGGGTTGTTAGATTTTATGTCAGTTGCCTCCTCCTGCCTCCTCCTGCCTCCTCCTGCCTCCTCCTGCCTCCTGCCTCGTCCTCCTCCTCCTCCTCTCCTCCTCGTCCTCCTCGTCCTCCTTGTCATCCTTGTCGTCCTTGTCGTCTCGTCCTCGTCGCTCAACTGCGACCCGCGATCCACAGTGTTCTCTGCCGGACCTCAACCACGACCAGCCACGCCAGTGTTCCCTGCCGGACCTCAACCACGACCAGCCACGCCCAGTGTTCCCTGCCGGACCTCATCTGCGAGTATCCATGCCAAGTGTTCCCTGCCGGACCTCAACCGCGAGTATCCATGCCAAGTGTTCCCTGCCGGACCTCATGTAGGAAGATAAAATGTCAGATAGAGTGCCAGAAGATTTGCCAGGTAGAATGCCAGAAAATATGCCAGAAGATATGCCAGATAGATATGCCAGAAGATATTCCAGAAGATATGCCAGATAGAATGCCAGATAGAATGCCAGATAGAATGCCAGAAGATATGTCAGATAGAATGCCAGAAGATATGCCAGATAGAATGCCAGAAGATTTGCCAGATAGAATGCCAGAAGATTTGCCAGATAGAATGCCAGAAGATTTGCCAGATAGAATGCCAGAAGATAGATATGCCAGAAGATTGCCAGATAGAATGCCAGAAGATTTGCCAGATAGAATGCCAGAAGATTTGCCAGATAGAATGCCAGAAGATATGCCAGAAGATATGCCAGATAGAATGCCAAATAGAATGTCAGAAGATATGTCAGATAGAATGCCAGAAGATGTGCCAGTAAGAACATGTATAAATGTCATGGTGGGGATCACACGAAGTAAAGTAATTGGGGTTGGTTCTGGTGTAATTAAGGCTTGATTTATAGGGTTGATTTAGGGCCGTTTTAGGGTATTTTTTTATATTTTTATGATGTTTCTTAGGGGGTTATCTATGAGAAAAAAGGAAAAGCACACAAGCAGAAAAGCAAATAAGCAGAAAAGCAGAAAAAAAAGGAGAGGTAAAGAAGATCAAAGAAGCAGAAAAGTAGAGAAGCAAAGAAGCAGAAAAGCAGAAGCAAAGAGGCACGGAAAAGCAGTAAAGCAGAGGGGCAGGGAAAAACAGAAAAGCAGAGAAGCTGGGAATCAGAAATCAAAAAACTAACAAAACAAAACGGTAAAAAACATCCCTAAACAAGTAATAGCCGTCCTATCTTAAAGGTTCTAAAGGCAAAACTATCAGTCGTGTATCTTTTTTTCATTATCAAAGTCTTTCGATGGCTTGGGGCAACCACAGTCGCGTGCGTCGATCGATCCATCTAAGAATCTAATTTACAAACTCGCAGAAATGCAAGCGTGAAGCAACCAGGGCGTATGAACCCAGGAAAGGCCTGCCGTCCTTCCAAGATGCTGTCTTTAGTCTTGTCCCGTCATTCATCGTGACTCGAGATATCTACAAAGCAAATTTGGCAAGAATATCACATCCAAGCATTACTTCAACCATAACCAAACCAAAAAAAAGCCTTTGCAATGCTTCTATGGTCTTGTCTGAATCACGTGGTCAGAATCTTGGGCGCTGGCGTCTCTCGCCAGCCTGGACAAAGCCTCGGAATGCTCCCACGAAAATCAAATGCAAAAAAATGCAGAAACAAAATACAATAAAATGCAAAATCGCGCAATAAACAATCAAGAACACATCCCTGTAACATCTCGCAATGCTGTGCAACTATTCTCCGGGTACCAGCCTCCAATTCAAGCGGCTGTAGAATACATGGGAAAAATAAAGAATGGCTCCGAGGCGTGGATGCGACCCGCTGCAGATGCAATGAATTCAACACATTTCAACAGTCTTCAGACCAAAATTGATTGAGACCAGTGATATCAGTGATTGCCTTAAAAATTCCCAGCCACATGGAAAGCTCCTTCAAAAAATGGGAGGGAGCTGGGCTTTGATTACCTTTGACTGGCAAGCAAAAAGCGCAGTTCAAAAGGTGGATTCGGTATTCAAACATTTTGGAAGACATGCTGCATTCAATACGGAGATTGATGCTGTCCGGCTTGTGGCCAGTCGCCACTCATATCAAAAAAACGACCATCGGCTATTAGGCCATGCTCTCAGGCGACCATTTTACGGAAGTCTCGCATGGCAACGGTCTTCTCCCGGCTGTGCAACAGCTCAACGACGTGCAACTTGGTCTCGCACTTGGGCAATTCCCTTGCGAAGTCTAAAGCACTACGGCCTTTGGCTGTTTTCGCAGCTGGATCTGCATTGGCTGTTAGCAGCAAACGAATCATCCCGTGGTCTCCGCACTTAGCTGCAATGTGAATCGGAGACAACTTCTCCGGGCATTGTGACACATCGTTTACATCTGTCAAGCCATTGATCTGCAGGAACTTCTGGACCCGAGTCTCTCTTCGCTTCCTCCGTTCAATTCTTTGAGCCACAAGCCTCACAGGTTGACAACGCATCAAATCGTCAGAGTCTGAGTCTGAGCTTGCTGAGGTACTGCGTTGTCCAATGGAATCGTCCGAGTCTGCGCCTGAATCCCACTTCGCTTCTGGTGCAGAGTGAAAGGTGGTGCATCCCCAGCTGACCCGTGACGAATTGCATTTGGTCTTGAGAGCCTTGAGAACCTTCAGTTTCACTGCATGGTCTCCAATTCCCAGAGATGGTGCTGGTGGTGCTGGGGCCATACAAAGGTCACCGATGTCCACCTCCAAGGAATCAGCAGCAACACACTCATCTAGGCACAGCATGGGTGGCTGGAGCGTGGCCGTGATCTGCAGGCTTCCCATCTTCATAGCTACAGAAGTGAGCTGACTGTCTGGCTAACGGCTAACAGCCTGCCGGCTACGGTCAAGTCCCGCGCTGAAAACCACTCGAGCCGAGGAGAACTTGATTGCCGCGTCTGCCCGTCATGTCATATTCACCACCTGCCTTTCCCTCGGTCAGCAGGGGGCAAAATATGCCAACTACTCTTCTGCTTAAGATTCTGAATTTAGCAAGTCTGTGGCTCCTGTGGCTCCTGCGCTCCCTGACAAACAAGAATTAGAGAAAACACGGATCTGTGAGATGCGAGCAAGCACACGCACGTCCGCAACCCACCATGCGGGGCTTTGACAATCAATTATTGCGGCAGGGCCGGGCCCCAGGCATGTCAGCATCATCAGGGTACTCTTCGAATGCCTGGCTTACATGAGAAGTACTGTGGAGAATGGTTGTCATATTGCAGCACTTAGTATGCAGTGTGCTCATTGTGTGTGTGTCACCATATGTCACCATGTTAGTTTCTTTCAGCGCCCATTGGATCATTTGGAGACATCTCCCAAGCCCCTGGATTCAAACTTCAAACATCACCGTTTGGGCAAGACGTCGGAGGACTACAACTGGATTTATACGGGCATGCCTCCAAAAGACGTGCATCCGTCCTTGCAGGGACACAAAAATGCATGGGGCTGCTAGTAGCTGTGAGTGGAGCTGCCTTTGCATCACCATCAACACGCTGAAATTGCTTGTAATTACTTCGCGGCCTTTTTACATCTTTTTTTTACCCAGTACCCCTGCTCTACGACAGGCGTGTCCCTTGCGGAACGTGGAAGCTGGCCAGCAGCTCGTCACTGCAAAAGAATTAGGTCCTGCAAATTGGTGACCCGCGTATCAATCACCTCGTCCATGTCCCATCACCGCAGAGGTTGGACAGTGACATGCCTAAAATACAGCAGCTCAGGCGCTCAGCGAGCCCCGGGCAACCATGGTGGCGCCAAACGGTAGGCGGCCAAAAGAGAGCCTACGACCTACCTGGCTGCTAAGGCCAATCCCTACGAAGCCCTGTTACATCAAAATCATCGCAAATATAAAGCAACATAAGACAACATACCCTGTGGATCCAATGTTGGATCTATTTGCTGACATTTGCGGTAAACCTTGTTTTTTGACGTCTGTAGGCATTATTTGACGTCCGTAGCCAAAATTTGGCAACATTTGCTGGGGTAACCATAATTTTACCGTAAAATGCTGTGAGCACAGGCGAAAAGTGGCAGGGACCCATATAAGATGAGCGGTCAATCCTGAACAGAACACGGTTTATCACGTTTTGTAACGGTATTTCCGACAAATGTCATAATTTTAAGTGGCAAAAAAATCATTCATCACGATTTTGAACTGCATATGGCCATGATCAACTCGCATGCGCATCTTCCAAATAGAGGATGCCTGCGGTTCTTTCTCGATTTCCGACAAAATCCGATGGATTTCCGACACGTTCCGGCAAATGTAACCAAAATCAAGCGTTAACGCAAATGTAGCTGTATTTTGACTACATTTCTATTTTTGATCTATAAGTCGACATCGATCCTCAGGGATAAGCAACCTCATCACACCTACAGAATCAGTCGGGACAGTCCAGATCGACTGGATTCACCATCCAAACAGGGTGAGAAAATCACATCTCACTTAGATGATGTCTAAGCATGCTCTATGTATCTCTAGTTCCAGTTTAGGCCTCCTTCAGGCACTGGCCTTTGCAGCCCTTGCTGCCTTTACACGTGCAGCAAAGCTCCTGCATAGCGCCAACGCTGTATGGGAAGTAGCAGAGCAAAAGAGTGCGAAAAAGAGTCGGCAAAGTGTCAGACTGTGCTGCGCATCATTGATGTGCAACAAAATGGATAGAGTGTATAGATATAGACTATATAACGTATAGGCTAACAAATCCAGCAAATACAAATAAACACATAACATCAAATAACATCACATAACATCAAGTACTGTAACTCTGACAGGGTTCCCATCACATACAAACATGAGTCAGGGTGAAAAAGGAAAGTGTAGGCTCCTACCATGCTGCTGCGTAAAAGCGATATGTGGGCCATGTTGAGTAATTAATCTCTGATCTGATCTGCCGTCAATTTCCATGTAGCGAGGCGGAAAGACAAATCCAGGAGCTGTGCAGCTACACTGGCTGTACAATGTACAATGATTCATGGGGCTCGAGTATGGGTGAGGAGACGAGGGACAGGTTCAAAGTTTTTTTGGGTCTTGCACCTTCTAAGGCGTACCGGCAGGGAGTAATCACAAAAGTTTTTCAAACGCAAAGAAGAAACCTGCCCTTCATCTCTTTTCCCGGGTGATGCCAGGCGTGCTCTTTGTCAAAGCCGGTCTTTGTTCTCGCTGTGCCAGCACTTTGCACATTGCGCCAAGCTGGAGGGGAAATCAAAGCCCCAACAGCTGATGTTTTCGAGGATTGAAGCCTAAGTCTTCCACAAATCTTCACGCAGCTTCACATCCCCCTGCAGAGACCCAGACCGTCGAGCTGGAGAGCTGGATTGATGGTGACCTATGGATGACCCATGTGGAACTGCAAGCCTTCCTTGCAAACTGGTTCCTTTTGGAGGACGCGGTAGTGCGCAACCACCAATTTTTTTTACACTCGCAAAAACCAGGAAATGCCCGAAACATAAAACTTGTCATAGGATACCTGCTAAAATCCAAATACTAGCACCATCTAACACCCCAACCCTGTTGCCTTTGACGTCCGAAACCAAGCTGCGTCAATGAAAACTTCCTTTTCTCGGCCTGCCATGTGCAACATCACCACACATGGACGCTTCCAGTTGGGCAGCGTCTTTTGCACCTTGTCATTCACTGTCGCTAACAAATCCTCTGAGTCTAAGTTCCTTCCTTGTGCAATGGACTAAAAGTGACCCTGGAAAAAGGTGGAAATGTCCACTTCAAGAAATTTTGATGAGCTCTCCTGGGGCCCCTTCGCCCACCGCCTGGGGTGCCATTTCTTGCCATTGGGCGGCATAAAAGGAGGCTGAAAGCCGTGCATGCCTTGCTGACAGTGGTTGTACGTGTGTGTTGCCTTGCAACACGTGCTCGGCATCCGAGGATCCCAATGGTTTTGCGGGTTCGAAAATTGAAAGTGTGTTGGGCTAGGACACGCTGTAGCATGTGCTATTGTGACTTATGCTACTTATATACACCAGTGGTGCCCGCACGCGGCGGGGCGGAAGTTGCCTTAGGGATCTATATAGAACTTGCGTGCGCCGTGCGCCAGCCAGGCCCGTGCACGCGTGCTTTGTGCGAAGCTGTTGCGCTGATGTTGTCCAAGTGTCATGACCTGCGCGCGACCCCGGGCAAAGCAACGCCAAGCGAGCGCTTTCCACACACTTCAGAGTGCGCGCTTCACACCCTGCACTTCGCACTTCACACTTGCGCTTCACGCTCGACACTTCATCTCATCTCAAATCATGTGAGCTGAGCTCTTCTCATTTCATCCCATCTCTTCTCACAGGTCATCTAAGTAAGTTCCTCTCAACTGTTTTCATCTCATCCGAGCAGTCTCATCTCCCCGAAGTTCGTCTCAACTCATCTCAGCTGTTCTGCACGCCAGAAAGCTCTTACTATCAGAGAGAAGTCTCTTGCACAAAAAAAAAACATTGGGCGCAGAAAGTTTTTGCACACAGACACTTGGGACACAGATGCATTTACACAGAAAAGCCTTTCCAAAATACTTTGTACGATAATGTACTATACAAAGCTCGCACAAAATTGAGAAAATCAGCTGACAAATCACTACCGCAGGCTTGATGCAGCCACTCCAATACGATTTACGATGTCCTGCTGCAAAAGACAATAGTATTACGCATGCAGCCGCGGCACCAAGCGACCTTGACGCAAGCATTACAATGCGATATCGAGATATTGAATCGCAAAATACAATAGAATTACGCGCAACAGCGTGAGAAATTGCAGCTCCAAAACCGGATCTCGGCGCCAAAGTAAAAAATTACTTTACTTCGTGTGATCCCCACCATGACATTTATACATGTTCTTACTGGCACATCTTCTGGCATTCTATCTGACATATCTTCTGACATTCTATTTGGCATTCTATCTGGCATATCTTCTGGCATATCTTATCTTCTGGCATTCTATCTGGCATTCTATCTGGCATATCTTCTGGCATTCTATCTGACATATCTTCATTCTATCTGGCATTCTATCTGGCATCTCCATCTGGCATATCTTCTGGCATATCTGACATATCTTCTGGCATTCTATCTGGCATTCTATCTGGCATTCTATCTGGCATATCTTCTGGAATATCTTCTGGCATATCTATCTGGCATATCTTCTGGCATATTTTCTGGCATTCTACCTGGCAAATTCTTCTGGCACTCTATCTGACATTTTATCTTCCTACATGAGGTCCGGCAGGGAACACTTGGCGTGGATGCTCGTGGTTCAGGTCCGGCAGGGAACACTGGGCCCGGATACTCGCGGTTGAGGTCCGGCAGGGAACACTGGGCGTGGATACTCGCGGTTGAGGTCCGGCAGGGAACACTGGGCGTGGATGGTCGTGGTTGAGGTCCGGCAGGGAACACTGGGCGGGGATGGTCGTGGTTGAGGTCCGGCAGGGAACACTGGGCGTGGATGGTCGTGGTTGAGGTCCGACAGAGAACACTGTGGATCGCGGGTCGCAGTTGGACGAGGAGGACGACGAGGAGGACGACGAGGAGGACGACGAGGAGGACGACGAGGAGGAGAGGAGAAGAGGAGAGGAGGAGCAGGCAACTGACATAAAATCTAACAACCCTCACCTGGCAGGTGGGGAAAAACACGATTTTGAAGCACTTTTTAAAAGGAATTTTAAAAGGAAAATCACAAGCGCCAAAATGAAAAACATAGTGGCAAATCACTACAGGAGGTGGACAATGTCATCCCTCCACGTCCCAAATTTTGGTCATTCCCGCATGTAAACGCAATATTTAAGAAGTCATCCCTTTGTCATCCCTTTGGCCTTTGGCCTACTGTGAGCGCTACAAATCCTTGATCGTTTTTTGTGGTTACTTTTGGGCAAGAGGAGTGGGTTGCGTTCTATTTAGATTGTGTTTCATTGGTTCAAAATGTTCGCGGGCCAGGACATGGAAGGTGCCTTCCCCATTGTAAACGCAACAAAAGTCCGTTGGTTATGAAACGTCAAAATCTCAAAGTTGATGTCATTTGTGTTCGTTTGTGCTTCGTTGGTTCTAAATGGTTGCGCAATACGAACATGGAAGGTGTCTTCCCCACTGGAAACGCAACAAAAATACCTTGGTGATGAAACGTCCAAGTTCAAAGTTGGTGTGGTTTGTATTCGTGTTTTATTGGTTCAAAGTGATCGCGCAACACGCGCATGGAAGAGGCCTTCCCCATTGGAAACGACAAAAATTCAAGGGGCGCCGAAAAAAACTTGACAATGTGTTTGAATCCGGCAACTACAACTATTGACTCACTGCCAAAAACAAAAGAAGTTTCCCACAGAATCTAAGGCACGATGGATTGTTCCACCTGGGGTACGCTCAGTGCCGTGCCTGTGCGTTCATGAAACTTGATGTACAGAAGAAGGTCCTTGCACTCTTGGTAACTGAGGCTCTTGTTGGGCGTCCGGCCCATCTTGAATTCCGCGGGGCACTGCGAAGAAAAAGGCTGCGAGAAGTTGCGCGCTATGGCATACAGCCGCTTCCGACTCACCCGCAAATCTGCTAAGATATTCTCCGCATGGGTGGCGTGCTGCAAATCTGCGTCCGGAGACAGAATCAGCAAGCGAATCAAGCAATAAATTTCCCAACGGCTTTTGGTCGTGGGAGCCAGGAGAGTCTGAGGTGTATGCAAAGTCGGCCTTCAACTTCTCAACAGTGTAATCTGGTGGCAAACACATGGTTGTGGAGGCACCTTTGTCAGAAATGGGTTGGTCAAGGCATGCTGGAGAAGCTTGCGCACCTGCAGCTTTAGATGTCACCATGTCTCTAAAAGCTTGCTTGTGCTCTTCGGAACTTGCTTTCCACAATTCAATGCGTTGCTTTTGAGATTTGCGGCTGTCTCCATCCAAAAAAGCTTGGATTCTCGCATTCCACACCATTTCCGACTCTCGGTTCTTCTTGGCCCAGGCATGTGGAGGGGAAGGCTCTTCCACATCAGTTGCGGCCAGCGGCTGGTCAGCAGATGCAGTTTCGGCAGCGGCAGCTTTGCATGCTGGAGTTGCGCTTTCTACTGTGCAATCAGTTGCTTCTGTTTGAATTGCAGCGTGTATGGTCTCTTGGCTTTCCCAACATGCAAAGCAACAACCTATCACAGGACTTTTGTTGTCTTGAGTGATTTCTTCAGAGCAAAGAATGCAGTGAGTAGCTTTTGCCTTTGGTTCCTTCAAGCATCTCTTGTTCAGAGAGACGTAGAAAAAAAAGCACTTGGAGCAGTACTTGGGAATGGGAGCTGCGTTAGCACTACACAGCTCTTGGCCACAGTCAGCGCAGCAGCTGGCTTTGTTTGGAGGTGGTTCACGCGCTGCTGGTAGAGGATCTGCAGATGAAGAAGCACCTGGCCATGAAAAACAAAGTTTGGATTGGACGAGATCTGGACGAGATCCGGACGAGACCAGAAAACCCCAAAGTCAAGACACTGCCCAAACCCCGGCCCCAGCCTTCTTTTTCACAAACTGCAGAGGGCGTGGAAGAAGCTACTGCAGCACACGAACCCTTGCTTCCAGAATAGCCAGCAGAACTTGTTTTGTTGGTCTTCTCGCCATCTGCCTGATGACCAAATCGTCTTCACCGTGAGGCCATTCAACGCCCCATTCCAAGCATGCATCTGCCAACTTCAGGAGAGGAGGAGAGGAGAAGAGGAGGAGAGGTTTGTTTGACTATGGACTATAGATCTCCGCATAATCTGATTCCATTCACACCGCACAACAGATCTTAAAACAAATAGTTTTGATGGTCTTCGCCTTCGTGGCCTTCACTGCCTTCATTGCCTTCATCACAATCGACTTGGGCATCTCCAAGAGAAGCACGGGCCCGCACAAGAATTGGCTTGAATATCAATGGCTCACACATGCTCACACAACAAAAACTGTCTTTCCCCCAAGCTAAACGCAGCATTTGAAACTCTGATGCAACACTGCCAGACCTTCATTTCCGCATGGAAACGTTCCTTTCAGTCAAAAACAAGGTTGTTGCAAAATCCCGCATTCAGGTTGCGGAAAAAATGAAAAAGACGACATCCTAAATGTGCTTCCCCCAAGCTAAATTCATCAATTTACAAAAAAAAAAGTGATGACTTTGTCATTTACCTGTATTGCAACCTTGATGCAGCCACTCCAATACGATGCACGGCTCTCAGCTGCAAAAGACAAAAGTATTACGCACGCAGCCGCGGCGCCAAGCAACCTTGACGCAGCCATTACAATGCGTTTTGCAGCATCACGTGGCAAACACGCATCTCTCTACGCACATGGCAACAAAACGTGACACCACTCATGCAGCCATTACACTGCGATCTGCAACCACGGATGCAACAAGCGCATAGAAGCACGCACACATGAACAACCACACGTTGCAAAACACCAAGGGAGAACCGATTCGACGATGAAACGAGCGCAGCGGCACCCGCCGCACACACGAGGTACCTTTCATCGCCGGCCGACGCCGCTTTACACGGAAAAAGACACAGTTTCGTGCTCCGGCTTCCTCCCCAAAACAAACGCCAAGTCTCACGCCACTCTTCGTGCGTTTCTTTTCTGTGAAATATTGTTATCTGATGTACTGTTTTGTGAAGAAAAGTCTCACACCACTCCACCCTTCGTTCCCTTCTTTTGTGTGATGTATTGTTGTGTGATGTAAAGTCTCACACCACCCTTCGTTGATGTATTGTTATGTGATGTATTGTTATGTGATGTGTTGTTATGTGATGTAAAGTCACTTGGATAAAAGTCATCCGTATCTCGGAAGATTGCTTCCCAACTTCCTTTGATGATATGTGTCTCTATATATATATATAATGCATATATATATATATGCTTACAGTACAGTATATTACACGTGCCTAGTTTGCAATGAGTGTTAAAGTGGTTCCATAATTGAAGCCTGCCGCTGTCAATGCTGCCCAGTTGCCCGCTGCATGCCAAAGAGGTGCCTCGCCAACATATCGCTCAAATAGATTCAAATCCTGAACCCCTTGTTCACTTCTTACTTCTTGCAGTTTGCATTTCATTACAGTTCCATATTTGTTCCAATCAAAATTAAGAAAGGCTCAGGGGGACCTGATCTGTCCGTGAGGGCCTCGCTGCAATTGGAAACAGTTGAACGTTGAGAGCTAACTCGCTCTGCTACTGCTAAACCTTCGAACACACATTTAAAAAATCTGCAAACTGTTGGTTCCCTCTTAGGGTGGCTATGATATCTTACGATATATCATGGTGGCCAGTTGCCTGGCCGGAGGCTGCCAAGCTGCAGGCATTGGAGGAACTGCAGGCACTGGAGGAACTGCAGGAAGGAGCGAAAGATCAAGCCTGAACTCATGTATATGTGCGATTATGTATACACACACACATATATATATAATATATATATTGTGTGTGTGGGTGTATGTATGTGTATTCATGTATATATATATATACACACATATATATATACACATATATATATACATATATATATATACATATACATATATATATCTCTCTCTCTATCTCTCTCTCTGTGGATGCATTGTATCTAAAATCAGCAATGGTCAAGAATGACGTTCAAGGCAAGTGTGACTAGCGCATTCAAATCTACGAGTATATAATATATAGTTGAAAGACATTGAAAGGTGATTTGGACAACAGCTCCGAAAAGGGATGAAAAGGGGTCAAACAAACAGAACTTTGCCAGTGCACCTGGCGGAACCCCAAAAGAAAGATGCACGAAAAAAGGCAGTCGAGGGCGACAATATGTTCCGAAACGCGGAATGGAGAAATAACTCGGAGCTTTAGATCAGCACGTGCTCGTATGAGCACGTCCTGTAGCCACACCATGTTTAAGTAAGGCAACAAGACACGCCAACGCATCCGCCAAGGAACCCAAACGGTAGATTCGGCATAGGTGTGAAGTCTCTTTGATTGTTGGGCCCTCGGCTCAGGGATCCCGTAATGATGCTCAGGGAAGATATCTGCCTGTCCGAAACTGTGCACGCACATTTGTGTATTCTCGATAATTATTCGCAAAGCTTGGATGTCCAAGCAGGTTCGAGACGGTTCGAGCATATTCTGGCCAAATGATGCCAAATGATTGTATGACCCCATGGTGCCTTCTGAATGCTGGATGCTTCAAACTCAGCGGCCGAACTTTCTCATCAACCAATCTCCATGCTGGATGAAGTCACCCCGGACACAGCTGTGGCATGCTGTCAGTTCTTTGCTGAAAATGAGTCCTCTCCTCGAGGGCTCTACCAGGTAATAGCCTCCTGGGGATTCCCCTGCCTCTCAATCCTGGGACCCCGGCACATCATCTGCCCTGTGCAGATCATCGCTTGAGCTTGCAGTCTGCACTGGTTGTCCATCAAACCTTGAGCAGGCAGAGTGCTCAGGTAACTCACAAAGGGATGGCCTTCAAATTGCCCAACACAATCTCTAGCACTCTAGCATGGACACACTGCGCCTTGGATTCCCGCCCTCACGTGCTTCTACTTTTTCTACATTTTTCTACTCTGTCACTTTATCATATTTTATCTGGGGGTTGAGGATTTTGTTGTGGTTGATGGGTCAGCACAACACTGAGGAATCTGCGTGCTCTCTCTCTCTCTCTCAAGGCTCATCATTTTCTGAGTCTGGTCATACCAAGGCTTATCAATGCTTATCATCTTCCGGGCTGCTCAGCAATTTTGATGCTGAGAACGCAGTCCGTTCGAGAATACTGAAAGCACAAATTTCCTGGGGATGGTTGATCCCTTGGCTGTGTGGCAATTTGCATGCTGGAATAGGAATCAAGAAAACTCATTACAGATCATTACAGTATGCAATGACAAGAACTCCACATTCACCTCTGCTTATCGCCAAGGTACGCATTTCGGACACTAGCACCTGCTCGTGGTCCACCGGGTGGCACCTATGCGGTCTCTAACATCCCAACAGGAGTGCCTGCTGACACTGTCAACCCTGAGAGACCAAAGAGTGGCACAGGCTCGGCTCATAGAAAAATTGCCCGCGCACTGGGCCCGCACACAATATATACGTACAAAAATCTAGATGTGTTCTGTAACATTTGTTCTGCAAAAAGATTACATATGTAACCGTATGTATTTACAGAACACGAGGCCCTTTTTTACAGAACACAAGACCCCGTTTTACAGAACACGAGACCCCTTTTTTACAGAGCGCGAGATCCTTTTTTTACAGAACACGAGCCCCTTTTTTACAGAACACGACGCCCTTTTTTACAGAACACGAGGCCCGTTTTTACAGAACACGAGGAACCCTCTTTACAGAACACGAGATCCTTTTTTACAGAACACGAGACCCTTTTTACAGAACACGAAGGCCCTTTTTACAGAACACGGGAACCCGTTTTACAGAACACGAACCCCCCCAAAGGCTCTAAAGAAAACGTGATAGGGTAACTGCCTAATTTATATAAATTACCATGTTTATCCATTTTGTGTGTGTGTTGTCTGCGAAAATCCTTTGCAGGCAGGTAAAAGAACATTGCAGCACAGATCAGGACCCCCAGATTGAAACCCTGAACCTGAGCACATCTCGTAGATTTCGACTCTGCTCCACAGGGTCTTCGATGTGCAAATGGCCTTCCTGACCTCAAAGATTGGATAAGGACAGTTGGGGAACAGCACAATAATGATATAATCATAATCAATACAGTCAAGACATTGTCAAGACTAAACAACCTGAACATCCCTCTTCACGGTGGTTGATCTAGATTCTAGATTTTTTCATCCCGAAACGGTCATTTGTAAAAAAAATGCGCAAACTCCAAGTAACATCAAGTAACTGCACTGCAGGATAAGTTTTCGCAGGACAAATCTTATTTTTAGGGAAACAAAGTAAGTCGCGTATGCAGATTCAGTCGCTACCAGTACCTGCCAGATTAATAATTACTTCATGATAGGACGCATCACAGAATCCCTTCTCACAAGAGGTTCTTGTTTAGTTAGTGGGTTTGAATTGTAAGGCCACTGGGCAATCCCCGGCAAAATGCACGTTCACTTTTGCCCCCTTCTTCGAAAAACTTTCGCGAAACTTTCGCAACAATCTCATACAATCTCCATATAGACTGCATGTATACTATTGGTGACTCATTGTGATATCAAACTTGCACGAAACATTGCGGAGGAAAAAGTTAAAGTGAGGGTGGTACATGGTCGAAGGAAGTTTAGAAGTCAAACTTCCGACAATATGGACAGATGAAAAGCAGAGATGGGAAGAGTCAGAGAAGAGAAGAAGAGAGAAGATCAAAAAAGAGAAAGTTTCAGAAGAGAGAAGATCCAGGCACGCGAAAAGGTAGGAAAGTCGCGAAACACTGTGACTGCATGTATACTATTGGTGACTCATTGTGATATCAAACTTGCACGAAACATTGCGGAGGAAAAAGTTAAAGTGAGGGTGGTACATGGTCGAAGGAAGTTTAGAAGTCAAACTTCCGACAATATGGACAGATGAAAAGCAGAGATGGGAAGAGTCAGAGAAGAGAAGAAGAGAGAAGATCAAAAAAGAGAAAGTTTCAGAAGAGAGAAGATCCAGGCACGCGAAAAGGTAGGAAAGTCGCGAAACACTGTGTTTTCCCCCATGTGTGCAACCACTCCAAAAAACACAACTCCCACCACCTGTCGGTTCATCTAGCTGAAGTTGTGGGAAATTCAGAAGCAATCGATGAAAATTATGCGTGTGCATGCTTATGGTGCCAATCAGCTGTCAGCCACTACCAAGATGCGACAGGTACCGCCTTATGGATCAGCAGGATGTGCTTGTTCCATTCGCAATCACCCTCTTACACACTAAATATATCTATATCTACATAATCTACATAGGCGTCAATGGGACCCTTGTTTTTTTGACAAGGTGGGGGGTCAAAAAAACAAGGTGCCCGGCGTCAATCAATAGGCCTTTGTAAAGTTATGATTGCTAGGATGGCACCGAAATCACACGATTCTGTCGTGTAACCAAAATTAGCAGAGATGGCCAACAGACCTTCTGTCGCAGGGACCAGTGACAGGGTGCACCCATTGTTGTGTTATAGAATTCTTGCCTGAGATCTGTGGCATGGTATTTACTATGTATTTACTATGTATTTTTGATACGCAATGGGGTCATCCAATCCATCTCCCTAGCGCCATTTTCATTCAAAATCCAAAGCCAAGGAACGCCCCTTGAGATCATGAAACTCGGTGGCATGGGTGCAATGCAGCTGTCGCGAGCGCTTACCCAAACGCACAGAAACCACCTGGTCAAACTGAAATTTGTTTGTTTCATCCGGAAATGGCTTTGATTGGCTTTGGCTCCCCCCCTCAGCAAATGTAATCAGCAAGCCGGAAGCTTTGAAAACGAAAAGTCAAAACCTGTATCTTTCTTTTCTGTTGAATCTTTCCCCTTTATTCCCAAATCTGCCATACATTCCGCAACCTCCCCATGCTGATAGCAAGTGCCCCATGACTCTACAGTGATGGTATTTCCATGAAGCTTATGACATGATGTGGTGACATGGTACGCCATAAAGAATATAAAGAATTTAGGACATTTTAGGACTAGGATTCTAGGACGGAATAAGAGGAACCCATGGAAACTGCGAGGATTTGCCCCATCGCTCTGAAAGTGGCTCTGTTCAAGGCAGAATGACAATGCCCTCATTTGCACATGGTAGCGCCTCCTTGCCCCATTGGAATGGATGGCACTGTCCAGTCGGCCCAACAGAACCAGCATAGAAAGCGAAAAAGCCTTGGCTTGGCTCAAAGATGCTCAAAGCCAGGACCACTGATGCGGCAGTGGCAAGTAAGGCAACAGCCCAAGTATCAAGGGCGAAAAAGACATTACACATGTGAAGATGTGAAAGACGCGTATGGCAGGAGCAAACTAGAAGAGGAAGAAACCGAGAGCATTGGCCCACTCCAACGCAGCCGGGCCACCTGCTACAAGGGTCCATAGATCTCCTTGGCACATCAAACTGTGCAAACATCAAAAGCCATGGCTCCTCGTAAGAGGCTCTTAAGAGATAAGTAACCAACAGACAGAACAAATCCATACAAATCCCTCCTGCTTCATGCTTCCTAAAGCTCCTCAGAACAAAGCACATAAAGCACATAGGATGTCAAACCATCTGTAAACTCCGCAGGATATATATATACACGATAGAGTCGGATACTTGGAGGAAATGGCTTGAGTCGAACCCATCCACTGGTCCTATCTGGTCCTGCTGTTTCAAAAAAGCAGACTGGGGAACATGCAAGAGATATCAAGAGATTAGATCATCACTGTGGCAGTGTCAAAAGATATCAAAGGTATCTGTTTCTATAGCCGGCCCAATATTCCCAACTGAGTTGGCCAAAAACACCCAAGAGCCCGATGTACGTTGCAACAGCATGCAACGGCGTTACATATTGGCACCCTTCCAGTCCCCCCAATTTGTTTATGCACAAGGAAGCCTTCTGACTTCTGAGCTGTCCTTAGGACGTGCCACTGTGAGTGATCCTTTGCACCCACGGAAACTGGACACGACAGGGTTCAGGGCAGACCGATGCGCCTTTGTCCATTGGGCCTGAAAGCACGGCACAACAAGTACAATCAAAAGGGATCAAAGAGAATGAAAGAGCCCAATAAAAAACCATTAAAAATAGTGGATGGCACACGGGCATCGCACTGCGTCTGTGTCGAGTTATGTTTTGAACATCATCGACCTACTCGATGCAGAATGCCTGCAATGGCAGCCCAAATGAACCATGATCCGCACGCACACACATCATGCAAATGGTTGCACGAAATGCAAAGGCTTGCAGTTGCACGAATGACATGTCCAGGCCGACTATTGAAGCGGGCCATCAGCAAATGTCAACGCCTGGTTGAGGGCGAGCTCAAATCCATCCAAGTCCACTCGGGCAAAGTCACTTGGATGATCGTGACGACGCAACAACCAAACTATCAAATATTTGATCCAGGAAGCCCCGCCGTACAAACGCCAATAGCTCATGGGTCGGGGATAGCGCTTCCGGTCTTTCGCAACAAAACAGCCCCGGACATCGGCTGCATCTGTGGAGCACATAAACTCAATCACTCTTGGAAGCTGGTCGCAGGAGCTTTGCATCCAAAGCACGTTGGCCATTCCAGCTCCATGTGGGCCGAAGGCAAGGTATGCCGAATTGAAAAGTCCTCAGTCACAGTGATATGTTTGTATATAAGGACCAGGTATGCTTACGATGCTTCTGTGGACTTATGTACTAGTAAACAATAGTGAACACATGTCAACAAGAACACCCCAGATTGCAATTGTTGCACGTCTGCGGGCCCATCTATCTGAACAGACCAACTCCATTGACCCACTGTTCAAAACAAACCTAATTATATAGAGATGTTAGAATATTAGAGTCCTATGCGTAGTATGTACGGGCTGCATGGGTTGGAGGGATGTTGGAGGGATGTTGGAGGGTTAAGTCAACACATTTCGCTTTCTGTCGGCGCACCCACGTGTAGACAACGCATGGAGTCAACTCACCTGCGTGAAGTCAAGGCGCTCTGCACAAAGCCTATGCCATGAGCATACTGCAAGTGACATCAAAGTACGCACTACTGAAGTCATGCCAAAACCGTGACAGAATACGAACACAAATTTTCATAGGTTTGCATAGTTTCGATGCGCATGCGCGTCCTTTCGTTTGAAATGGGGATCATTGGGGACGCACTCGAGTTTGAAAAGGAGAAAGCATTGCCACTATTTGCCACTTCGATCCACTTAGAGTCACATTCGCGATTGCACCTCTTCGTGCAACATCGTGCAACAGCACTTCATGTCAGTTCATGGTATCTCCAATGCACATACCACAAGATTCTCATCCATCAAGACTGCAAGCACAGAAAAGGGAACTGCATGGGCACACTGCCGAGTAAACTTCAAACTGATCGAGTCGACTTAAGCCCGTGCAGGAAGAGAGGAAAAGGAACCAGCCCGCAGATCACCACACATGCAGACATCATCTTAGAATTGAAGGCTACATGAACAGCGTGATGTGCCCTAAATATCCTAAATATATACTAAATACACTGCATCCTGTTCGATTCCATTCGCACCGAAAGAAAAATGTTGACAAGTCGAAATAAGCATCGATACTGCTCTTTAAAGCTTAATGATGTGCCATCAGCAGATGCGCCAGTGAAAGACACAATTTCGTCTGATCGGTTGTGAGCTCTTAGGGTTTTCTCCGCGAGCTCGAGCAAAGTCTGAGACTCAGCTTCCTTCTTGCTGCAACGGAGGGACGAAAGACATGTGTACACACACAAGTGACAAAGGACATCAAAGGACAATACTGTACTTCCAATAATTGTGTAGTGTATAATTGAAGAAAATTGCGCAGACATATATGCAAACATACACACACAGTTAATTACTCATCATATCTCATCATAGGGAGAACAGACAATAGGGAAATAATGGGAAATACGAGAAACAATGTCGATCAAAGGAAGTCACAAGACATTTCCAAAACTTTAAAACTGGCAGCATCTGTCAGCAAAGGAGGTCTCCTCCAACAGCCGGCTGTGCCTGGCAGTGGCCCGCTGGCGTTTGTAGTAGATGACCTTCTCCACCTTGAACTGTCGATGTGTTCGAAGGCTGAACCTTCCGGAATGGAGCAAACGCTTTGCACTTTGAAAGCGTTGTGTAAGCATCGTGTGATCATTTAAAAGCCACTTGTGCTGACACAAGTGAAAAATGTTTGATTTCCTGTTACATCCTGCTTGAAGTTCCTGCTCCCTTGTTTCCCTTCTTCAGTTTCCGTAATGGCGTTTCCCCTAGGCCCTGGATTCTTGAGTTTTGAGTCCTGAAGTTTTTCATCGTCACTTTCTATACCTCTGGGACTTTTAAGCCGGGAAACTGATGCAAAGCTGAGGACAACTCCGAAATGCGCAAACGCTCTGGTCTGGAAATTTCTAGGCTTTCAGGCTGAAGGAAAAGAAGTTCCTTCTCTGCACAAACCTTAGTTGGGCCAAGTCCGGACACGTGCATACAAGGCCGCAGCAAGAGGACAAACTCAGACAGCAAAAATGCCTTGTTTAAATTCAAGGAAGGCGCCAAGGTTTCAACAGGCACGAAGACGAGCCGATCAAAAAAATCTGGCAAAAACCATTCCATGAAGCGTTTGACGCTCGAGTCTGGGTCCAGTTGAATCGCGATCTTCGCCGCTGGCTTCTCTGTCAATACATGCACCACCACGGGCAAAACATCCATCAGGATGTGCCCATACTGGAAGTTTTGAGGAACAAAGCCCCTGTAGACCTGTATCAGAGCTCTTGGAGCACAGCTCAAAAACTGTCATAGGCATATGCCTTCATTATATTATACCACAAGAAACAAGGTGGGCCAGAGAACCCAGAAGCAACACGGCACACAGCACGCCTTTTTTAAAAAAATATTGTGGTGTGGGCAGCTGTGCTCTGCGCGAAATCCAGGCAAAATCTTGACTGAAACATCGTGCGCACTGATGGTATCAGGGGCCACAATTCACCACAGCATGCTGCGTCAGCTGCGTCTAATTACATTCTTCTAGTCGCTATTTCTGCTAATGAAATTTACTCTATCCCATCTTTCTAGTCACTGTTTATTCCTGGGTTCTCGTTTAGTTTGCTTCGCCGCAAAGGGTGCGAGGACGAAGCGTGGACGGACAGAACACCGTGCGAAATGAAAACTAAAAGACGGAGGGAGTTGACCAAAACATCATGAAAACGAAGATACCCAGTCAGTCCAAAGGACGAGTTTAACGCGGCCGTTAGAGTAAAGGACCTAAATGACTAAAGGCCTCAAAAAAATCATTACCTTGAAAAAAAAATCCGCACCGTAAGATCAGCAGCAGCCATATAGAGCGGGAGCACTTATGAGAAAAATTGGTCACAAAATCGCAAAACCATTCTTTTTGCATGTTTTGCACAAACCTGATTTTGAGGGTTTTTCAATGTTTTTCACGGCCTTTTCACGGGGTTTTCACTGGCTTTTCATTGCCTTTTCACGGTTTTTTCACAGTGTCACTATTTTCGTAAACTCGAAGTTGCGCCCTAAATTTTTCGAGCATTGGATATCTTTGGGGGCGGGACCTTGCTCCACTAAGTCTCACAAAAATACGACCTCAAAAATTATCACATTACAAAAAACCTCAGTCCTAAAGGCCTAGTTTAACCAGGCCTTTAGCAAAGGCCTAGTTTAGCGAGGACTTGGACCGACGGGGGTGTGAAGATGACACATGGTGAATGATCATGAAAAATGAGACATGATGAAAGGTGGGTAAAGACTTCTCTGTACAAAAGCTTCTGTGCGTAAAAGATACTGTGTGTAAACGTGTCTGTGCATACAAGTTTCTTTGTGTAAAAGTTCCTCTGTGTAAAGGTTTTTTGTGAAAAAACTTCTGTGTGCAAAAGCTTCTGTGTGTAAAAGTTTCTGTCTGTAAGTTTCTTTGCGTAAAGGTTTCTGTGTGTAAAAGTTTCTGTGGGTAAAAACTTCCCTGTGTAGAGGTTTTTTGTGTAAAAACTTCTGTGTGTAAGAATGTGTAAGAGCTTCTGCGTGGAAAAGTTTTTGTGTAAAACGTCCTCTGTGTGTGTGTAAAAGTTTCTGTTTGTGAAAGTTTCTTTGCGTACCAGCTTCTGTGTGTAAAAGTTCCTCTGTGTGTAAAAGCTTCTGTGAGTAAAAGTTTCTCTGTGTCAAAGCCTCTGAGTGTACAAGCTTCTCTGCGTAAAAGTTCCTCTGTGTAAAAGCTCCTCTGTGGAAAAGCTGCTCTGCTTAAAAGGATGTGAAAGGCTTCTCTGTGTAAAAGCCTCTGTGTGTGCGTGTGTGCAAGCTTCTCCGTGTCAAGACTTCTTTGTGTAAAGATTTCTCTGTGTAAAAACTGTTCTGTGTTAAAGCTTCTGTGTGTAAACGCCTCCGTGTGTAAAGGCTCCTCTGTGTGAACCCGACTGTGTGTAAAAGCTCCTCTGTGTAAAGGCTTTTTGTGTGTATGTAAAAGCTTCTGTGTGTAAAAGTTTCTGTGTGTAAACGCTTCTGTGTATAAAGAAATTCTTTGTGTAAAGTGTAAAAGCTTCTGTGTAAAAGCTCCCTTGTGTGTACAAGATTCGCTGCGTAAAAGCTGCTCTATGTCATAGTAAAAGTTCTATGCGCCGTAAGGTTGTCTGTTTGTAAAACCTTCCGTGTGTGAACGCGTCTGTGTGTACAAGATTCTGTGTGCAAATGCTCCTCTGTGTAAAGGACACCAAAGAGCACGATCTAGAGCACGAGTTTTGCACGGAGGGGGACACCAAAGAGCACGATCTAGAGCAGATTTTTGCACGGAGGGGAGCACCAACGAGCACGATCTAGAGCACGATTTTTGCACGTAGGGGAGCACCAAAGAGCACGATCTAGAGCAGGATATGCAAGATTTTGCGCACGAAGGGGAACTCCAAAAAAGCACGATCCAGACCACGACTTTCTGCACGAAGGAGAACAATTTTCACAGAGCCCACACCAAAAAGCACGAGCTAGAGCACGATTTTTGCACGGAGGGGAACACCAAAGAGCACGATCTAGAGCACGATTTTTGCACGGAGGGGAGCACCAACGAGCACGATCTAGAGCACGATTTTTGCACGGAGGGGGGCACCAACGAGCACGATCTAGAGCACGATTTTTGCACGTAGGGGGGCACCAAAGAGCACGATCTAGAATCTAGAGCAAGATATGCCAGATTTTGTGCACGAAGAGGAACTCAAAAAAAAGCACGATCCAGACCACGACTTTCTGAATTTCTGCACGAAGGAGAACAATTTTCACAGAGCCCACGCCAAAAAGAACGAGCTAGAGCACGATTTTTGCACGGGGGAGAACACCAAAGAGCACGATCTAGAGCACGATTTTTGCACGGAGGGGAACACCAAAACAGCACGATTTAGAGTTTAGAGCGCAATTTTTGCACGAAAGAAAATGGAAAAAATTAATGAATTCCTTGTGCTCCTTTTGAAGAGGTTTCCATAGGAAATCCATTCTCCGACTGTTACAGAGGTTAGGTTACACCCAACTTCTCTGTGTAAACGCACCTGTGCGTAAAAACTTCTCTGTGTAAAAGCTATTCTGTGCAAAAGGTTCTGTGCGTAAAAGCCTTCTGTGTGCAAAAGCTCTTCTGTGTAAAGGCTTCTCTGTGCAAACCCGTCTGTGCGTAAAAGCTCCTCTGTGTAAGACTTCTTGGTGAAGAAAGTTTCTCTGTGTAAAAGCTTCTGTGTATAAAAGCTTTCCTGCGCAAAAGCTTCCTTGTGCAAAAGCCTCTGTGTGCAAAAACTTCTCTGTGTAAAGGCTTTTTTGTGTAAAAGCTTCTGTGTGTAAAAGCTGCTCTGTATAAAAGTTTCAGTGCGCCGTAAACGCTTGTAAAACTTCCTGTGTGTAAACTCGTCTGTGTGTAAAAGTTTCTGTGTGAATCGCCTTTGTGTAAGAAGGACTTCTCTGTCTAAAAGCCCCTCTGTGTAAAGACTTCTGTGTAAAAGACTTCTCTCTCTAAAAGCCTCTCAGTGTACAAGCTTGTCTGTGTCAAGACCTCTCTGTGTAAAGACTTCTCTGTGTAAAAGCTACTCTGCGTAAAAGCTTCTGTGCGCGGAGGCTTCTGTGTGTAAACGCATCCGTGTGTAAACACTCCTGTGTAAACGCTTCTGTGCGTAAAAGTTTCTGTGTAAACGTTCTGTGTGTAAGAGCTTCTCTGTGTACAGGCTTTCCCGTGTAAAGACTTCTGCGTGTAAAAGCTTCTGTGTGTAAAGCTCCTCTGTGTGTACAAGCTTCTCTGTGTAAAAGCTCCTCTGTAAAGACTTCTCTGTGTCAAAGCCTCTGCGTGTACAAGCTTTTCCGTGTAAAAGCTTTTCCGTGTAAAAGCTGCTCTGTGTAAAAGGCTTCTCTGTGTAAAAGCCTCTGTGTGTGCAAGCTTCTCTGTGTCAAGACTACTCTGTATAAAGACTTCTCTGTGTAAAAGCTTCTGTGTGTAAAACCTTTCCTGTGCAAAAGTTTCTCTGTGTAAAAGACTCTGTGTGTAAAGTCCTTCCTGTGTACAAGCTTCTCTGCGTAAAAGATCCTCCGTGTAAAGCTCCTCTGTGTAAAGCTCCTCTGTGTAAAAGCTGCTCTGTGTAAAACCCGTGCCAACAGCTCCGCATTTTCAGTGCCACTCCCTCCCAGCATCTCTCCCCAAGCTATTTCCCCACCTGTCCGTTCACGCTGATGCATATCCTATGCTTGGGTTCTCGTTTAGTTTGCTTCGCTGCAAAGGGAGCGAAAACCAGGCATCGACGGACAGAACGCCGTGCAAAACGAAAACCTCTCCAGCAAAGAACATGTTCCCATGCATGTCCGGCATGTCCCTTTGCCCAGCGTTCGTTCGAGAAGTCTTTGGCACCAGTTTTCGGGACAATCGTGTTGATGGAATTTGTCCTGAAAAATCCGTGCCAACAGCTTGCTCTTTTAGTCTCGCTCCTTGTCAAATTTGGGTTCGTCTGGAAATACCGTATCCCCACTGGAAGGTTTGTCTAGGGGGTATGCTTCGGAGGTATGCTTCGGGGTTTGCTTCGGGGGTATGCTTCGGGGTCTGCTTCGCATGAACTTCATATCTAAGAGGCTTCCAACAAACTTTCCAACCTTTTATATATCTCTGCGTATATCCTTGCACACATATATAGAGAGAGAGAGAGACACGTATGGTTGTCTGGTCTAAATCAACCGCCAAGGGCCAGAGTCTGGCTTTCCCAAGTACAGGTGAAGCCCGAGGCTAGTTCTGACAGCAGGTATACGGTAGTTGGTTCAAGGCATAGCTGGCTGTAGGAACCACGTTTGTTCCTGACAGCAGGTGGTTGGTTCAAGCCATAGCTTTGGTGCCATGGCGGTATGGGCAAGGATGTCTTATTTTCAGGGTTACGCAGAGATGTGAAGTATCTTACTCACGCGTTCAAAATGTGCCAGGGTCTGGAAGTTGAAGGTTTGAGGTATGAAACGGGTGTGATTCGGGTATGATTCGGGTATGATTCGCGGAGCAGTATTCAGCACAACGTATCAGATCTAGACAGGAGCTACAACGGCCAGTCAGCACCAGAAGCTGGTCGATGCAAACAGTATCGGCTGCCACAATGAAGCTACAGCGGCCAGTCAGCACCGAAGCTGTCTTCAACCTACTTGTCTGCACATGGCAGCCAGACTGCGCGGATGGAGAGCGGGATGGCGCAAAGGGCGCCTAAAGGCAGCATGAAGCAAGTGTCGCTACCCATGATCTCCAAACAACAACCATCAACAAGCCCCCAAAAATGATCTTCATTTTGGGGGTTTGCTTCGGGGTATGCTTCGGGGCTCTGCTTCGGGGTGTGCTTCGGGGGTATGCTTCGCAAGAGCGCCGCCTTCCACCAATACATATCTAGGACCACGGAAAAAATACTAACCCATTTGTCAACGAAGCTATGCATGTTCCATGGCCCAGGGTTTGGAAACTTTGGCAGGTCTTGGCCGCACAATTTTCGGAACAATCGTATTGATGAAATTTGTCCTGAAAAAAAAAGCGTGCCAACAGCTGTGCATTTTTAGTGTCGCTCCCTGTAACGAAGCTATGCGTGTCCCATCGCCCAACGTTTGCACTTGAAAAGTCTTCGGCGCACAGTTTTGCCGGACAATCGCATTGATGGAATTTGTCCTGAAAACTCGTGCCAACAGCTCTGCTTCTCAGTATGTCGCTTCCTCCTAGCGGAGCTCTCCCCAAGCTATTTCCCACGGTTTCCCATCCTTCCGTGATGTCAAAGCTTGCGCCTTGCTCCCTCCCAACGGAGCTCTCCCCATTTCCCACGGCTTCCCATCCGTCCACGGTGTCCACGCTTCCGTCTCGCTCCCTCCCATCGGAGCTCTCCCCAAGCTATTCCCCATATTTCCCATGGTTTCCCATCCGTCCACAACGTCCACGCTTCCATCCCGCTCCCTCCCAACCGAGCTCTCCCGTATTTCCCACGGTTTCCTGTCCGTCCAGCGATGTCCACGCTTCCGTTTCGCTCCCTTTCCCACGGTTTCCCATCCGTCCACGGTGTCCACGCTTCCGTCTCGCTCCCTCGCAACAGAGCTCTCCCCAAGCCATCCGTCCACGGTTTCCACGCTTCCGTCTCGCTCCCTCCTAAGGGAGCTTTCCCACGGTTTCCTGTCCATCCACGATGTCCGCGCTTCCTTCTCGCTCCCTCCCAACGGAGCTCTCCCCAACAAACCTCTCCCCAAGCTATTTCCCACGGTTTCCTGACCTTTCATCCTGTCGTCGCTTCCGTATCGCTCCCCCGGCGGCAAAGTAAACTAAACGAGAACCCAAGCATCGGAGATGCTTTTGGGAAAAATACATAGCAAGTTGCTAGAACACGCCAGGAGTCGAAAATTGGGTCTGCTATTGTCTCATGGCACTGTTGCCATGCAAAACGGCTCTGATTCAGAGGCATGTAGAATGGATGCGGCGGCGTGCCAAGAGTATGGCCTTTGTTGGCAGTCCGACTGCATGTGTAACACGTGTAGGCAACGTAAGCATGTCGTGGCCAAGTCACGGGATCATAGGCCTTTGAGTGGACTTTGTGCTTTGGGGGTTTATGGGGCATCACAAGACTAGCTGAAACGCTGACAAAAGAAAGGATAATCACAAGTGAATGCGAGCTGCCATCAGCCAAAGTCTGCCATTCCAAGTAGTTTGGACCTCTCGGACTCTGGAAAAAAGCAAAGCGGCCTCCATTAGCCAGCGTCTGAATGCTGAATGTCCTGTTCAGCTCACGGTGGAGAACCCGGATAGTTCAGCCATATGAATGAATGTTCAAACCCAACTAAACTCAAATGCTTACTCGTTCATCCCTCCTAGAAAAAATGATTCAATCCACTGCCGTGTGCCATCTAAATATCCCTTCCTGCCCAAAGGAGTTCGAGCAGCTTGTAAAGTCTGTTTGGCAAAGCTCTGCCACTCATGATCCCATTTGATACGAGGACCAGCGGACCTCAGTGCAGGCTACTGTATCGGTTGGGTTGCTCCCAACCCCTGAGCCACCCTTTTGTGAAATGGCCATGTAAACATGTGGCATGACATGTATACATATACATAATCATACGTATATAATCGTGTATATATCTATATATATATACATATATGATACATATATGTAGCATCAAAAGCTGCTTGAAGCTCAGAAAACGACAAAGGAACAGGGTCGCCGCTCCCAGCTGCGAACAATCGTCTGTGGCAACCAACTGCACAAAATGCACAAGAGAAAGCAGAAGAAGCACCAGCGCACTGCCAGGTCTCCACCCAGCTACCAGGCGTACCAGGTCAGTGCTCAGCTGCATTGCAATTCTGTGGCAACACCCGATGCCGTTTGGCCGTGGCAAAGGACAAACCCCGGGTGGAATACGTGGAATACCCAAGCTAAGATGTGAAAAGGTTCTTGAGCCAGGCCCCACAACATGGATCAACATGAGAGCGATCTCAATTATGATATTGTGGCAGCCTAAAGTCATGGAGTCCCAAACTTGGTCCAGGTGTCACTTGGTTCCTGGAAGGAGACACAACATCTTGGAAGTTAACCAACGGATCACCTGGCATCAAATTGCATGCTTGGTTTGTCATTCAAAATACCCGCGGCCCACATGCACCCTCTACCGGATTCTGTTTCCCATCCTTCAAAATGTTCAAGCTTAGTTCATGCAGATGATACAGCAGAAAAGAAACCCGGACCCACTTGACCCAGTTGTGACCTTCGGACTTCTTGCATGTCGACTTATATACATCTTTGATCATCTTTGGGCTCAAGCAAAATGCACTAAGATCGCCCGACGGGTTGACTTTTGAAGCACGCAGCCGACTTCACTGTCAAGTTGCTTGTCGGCAATCGCCAGCTCTCCTGCCGTGCTATAACTGCAAGATGGTTGATAGAGGTTGATAGACGTTGATAGATGTATGTAGTGGTTTCTTTGTGCCAAAGTCATGTAAGATTGTTGATTGCCCTGGGCAAGGAGAGCAGATACTAAAATTGACTGGAAATCTAAAGCTGATTGATTCACACATAATTAATGTGGCATTCTATTTCCACCCAAACTATTTTGGGGGGTGAACACCCCGTCCTCACCCATGCTATGTTCTGCTGAACCAAAAATAGATCAGTGATGATCAGTGAAAGTGTATACCCTCAAATAGATATACACAGCTCTTGACAGCCACTCTTGTGCAGTTTGTTCATTCAGTATTTGCTGTCTTGAAACTTCGTTGAATTTTATAGCTCCATCACTCACAAAAATCCACACTCGTTCAGCATGAAAGCTTATCATGCTTGTCGATACTACAAGTCACAACTGCTCTGTCCTAAACGTTCAGAACTGTCCAATTGAACTGACGTTGATTCTGACTGGAATAGAGGCCATCAAAATAACTGCGAGGCGCTCAAAAATCTCAAAAGCCCAACCCCAATCCACCCGCTGCAGGGCCTTAACGACCTGCACGCGCTTGAAAAGGGCTTCATCGTCATCTGCTGTAGCCTTGGCAGGTGGCATCTGTATTGAATCACAACAGGTTTGAGATGGTTTGAGCATTTCAGGATGGCATGCAGTGGATGAATCCATTCGCTCCTCTTTCACTGCTTTCTACTCCAATGCTTGGTGCGTCCACGCTCTCTCTCTCTCTCTCTCTCTCTGATCTTGCAAACATGCAGCCCAGCTTTCATCCAAGCCCTGTTGCAAAGATGGCATCCTTAGCAGTTGCCGTTGAACAGTTGGGGAACGCTGTTCTCGTGCTGGATTATCCCTTGCACTGACTGAACACATCCCACAGAATCCATCCATAGCCATAGCATGCCATAGCCCAAGTTCTCAGAGAGGTTATGTCATATATGTCGATATGGGTGATCTGCCACGGAAGCCTCCATGGTTCTACCAGTGCCAAGCTTGTTGCAGAAACCAAGGTGCTCATCGCCGCCCACTTGAAGGAAGTACAAGGCCATGAGGATGAAAGCATACCTGGATCTGCCATGATAACAGCCCCAATTGCCCAGAATTGGAAGCAAATCTAGTGGATTCAAAGCAACGTTGCTGGGGAATTGCAGCATTTCAAAAATATTTCAAATATGTTCAAACATTTGTAAACCAACGTTTTGCTTGCAGCGACGGGTCTTGCGACTAAGCATTGCCATGCTACGATGACAAATGGCCATCTTTTGCACCGCACCTTAGCGTTCATGAATGTATAGGACCATGCTTCTCAAAATGGCGACGCTATGGCGGACTGAAGCGGACTGAAACATACTCAAGCTATAGGCAATGTGATACGCAATGCAAATCCCAATGATCCCAATATGCAAAAACGGATTCGAGCAACCTATAACCTGTATAGTATATTCTAGTCCCGTTGGTCATTGATTCTTGCACCAGGGCCAATGCGATTCTTCTCGGCCACCAAGTTGCAGCTGTGCATCTTTTGCCCACAGTTTCACTGCAATTCCAAACCTCAGAGCATGGAGACCTGCGATATGTCTGCATCTTGTGCCGTGACAACCTGGGAGCACATCCTAGAGCTCTATTTATGAGATGGTGGATCTTCTGTCCTGTCAGTGCTTATTCATTGCTTATTTGCTGGCTATAATAAATCAATGTAGATCAACGATGCAAAGAAATAATGTTGAATGCATGTAACTGTACTGTTAGACGACATCATTGCTGGTGAACTTGCACACGAATACAACCATGGCACCTAGAGGTTCTGGGCTTGCTTCGGTGCGGCATGTGATGTCTTGCACAATATATATATATATATACAGTACATATAATGCATAAATTAATAACTCAGTCATTGCACATGTGTTTGGAGCCATTTGTTTGTTCGGTCGGGTACTGTAATTTATTATTCACACCTTCACCTTCACCTTCACCTTGCTTTGCGTCTGATAATTGAAAGAATTTTGTAACTGATCCGGGCTATTCTGCTTGCGGCCCTGCTTCTCTGCGATTAAGGGATCCAACTGCGCATATGCGTGGAGCAAACGTGAGTTTTTCAACGCCTGCCAGTCCAAATCCAGCACTGATATCTTTCCGGCTTCAGGTTCGAGGGGTGGCAAGGCATGACCAAGCAACATGCTGGTCTGTGTGATCTGTCATGGTCTGTCAATGTCTGTCAATGCTGCAATGAGGTCTTTCAAGGTATTTCAGGCCAGCCTTTGCACCTCGTTACAAGATTTCAAGTGGGGCCCAAAGGCAAATAACGATCAAACATGTTTCATGTAAGTACCAAACTACACTTCTTTAGCATTTAAGAGTCATTAATGAATAGGGGTGTTAACAGCTTGAAATATGGCGTTATTTCAGGGACAACAGTCTTAGCTAGAGTCTGCTTCGACGTGCTTTTATGATCTTTTATGTTTCCTAGGCACTAGGCATCTGACACAGCGATGAAGTCATCCCCGTGTCAACAACACACTTACAGTATTTACAGTATTTCCATGTATTTCCATGTATTTCCATACAGTAGGCCGATCACACAATTTGACAACTTCTAGATACCATGCTTGATACGGTCAGTAATCTGATCTGATATTTGCCTTCTCATTGTTCACTGAAACGTCAACGTCACGACCTCCATACTCCAACTTCCTTAGGTCATACGGTCTCAACGCAGCTGCTTCCCAGACCCTCAAACATCGGTAGCTAGTTTCGCACCCCCAAAACGGGACACAACGCTGCATGCACATCTTCTTCAAGACTACTCAGCACAATCACAGCTGCATCTAGAGAATCTGGGCTATATAGGTAAATTTGGCTCTGTCAAGAATCAGTATGGGCACACGTGCTGTCAGGATGACGTTCTTGATCTCAAAGTCTGGCTTGTCCAAAAGAATCTTCCTGCCACAGAGAGGGCGGGGCCACAAAGAAACGGGCCCAGTACTAGCAGTACTAGTTAAATTGATGAAACAATATGAAACAACATGAAACAACATGAAACAACATGAAACAACATGAAACAACATGAAACAACATGAAACAATAACTACTCATACAAACCAATAGTGGAAATAATGCATCAAAATGCATCTAAAGAGTGAGTGAGAGAGAGAGAGATAGAGAGAGAGAGACAGGGGCCGCCTACCAATCAAAACGTTCGGCACATCATATCTTTGTGACAGTGTGTGTGTGTGTGAGAGTGAGTGAGTGTGTTAGTGTCCAGCGTTGTTGGCGGGCGGAAGTGTTAAGGTATCGCAGGGGGCCGGAAACGTTAGAGTCAGCAATAGACATCAGAGATTGATTTCTCAGATCATTCCCATCTGGTTGTCTGACTTCACGTCAGTGGCAATCGCGACATTCTAGCAAACAAGTAGCACTATGACCTTACACTATAATATACACATTGACATACATACATATATTTATATATACATATGACAATACACATATAGTCACATATATACACATAATTTATGTAATATATAAATATAATTAAATATAACTAAATATATATGTATATGTGTGTATGTGTGTGTTACTTTATTATTACCATCATATTCTACATAATATTATATCATACGCTGATGCATGTGCTTGAGCTGGTTCCACGGCCTGAGCTTCATCAAGACATCTTTGTTGTCTTCAGTGGATTCAGACTCAGGCGTATTGGCCTCGTCCGGGGTGCATCTTCGACGTACATGGCAGGAGTCAGATGGGTCAGTTTGGAAGAGAAAACATGAAAACATGAGAAAACCACATGTGATACAAGATGGTACAAGTACCTTCTGGGGCCTTTCTCACTTGCAATCAATCGCAATTAATTTCAACGGCAACATGCAGCACCCCAAGAAGGGTAGGCGGTGGGACAATCCAACTTCTGTGCAACGAGGTCTTCAACTGACAGCTCTCATCAGTGCAAACACAGCACAGCACTATGTGGGCCCATGTGACTGTCAAAATAGTATTAAAAAACACAAAAACAATTAACCTAAATGAATGGAAACCAACGAGCAGTCTGAGCCAAGGGTCACTCAAAATGACCACGTCAAAGTCGCAGCCTGGAACACAGTGCCACACAGGGCCAAACATGCCCTGAGTCTTGACTTTCTCACAGGCAACGACTGAAACTACTGCGCAATGAGCCCGGTCTGTACGCCCGCCTTTTGTCCCAAATCCAGTGCTCATGCTGCCAAAAAGCTTCGCAAAACTGAGGATCGGCTGGCCAGTGGGACTTGCACTTGGTTAGTTAACTGCGAAGCGAAACCGATATCAAGGCAAGGAATGTCCGTGCATATGGAATCGTCTCAGGCAACCAAAAACCACGGCATGATCACTGCAACTTGGAAGTCTCTAGAAAATAATAAGTCCCACAGTATGCCCTTCCAACCGAGACCGAACTCACCTAAATTATGCAGATGGAAACCAGGACTGACGTGCTGACTCATTCTGTCTTTTCTGCCCTTCTGTCTTTGAAAGATATTTTGAAAATCTTC